CCCCTCCCCTCCCCCCTTCCTTTCAGTGTTTGTTCTTGGTCCTTGTCTGCTTTGGGGAAAAATGGCTTTTGGACATCTCTCCGTCGCTCCGGACGGAATTTCGGTAAGGTACATCCATATCCGGTTGCATTGGGGGTCAGATGCATCTGCATCTAGGAAAAGTACTTGTGTGGGTATGCTCCTGAGTCGCTGAGATCGAGGCCCAGGTGAACACACCAAGCGGACAATTCTTCCCTCTTTTTCTTCTGCCCCAATGTTTTTTCTTTTTAGTGTCCCGATGCAAGCATAAGGCCCTCGACGTAAGGGACGTCGGGGTTCTCGCCTGCGCCCGCTGGAAAGGGCCTGTGCCCGCCCTAAGTAAAGAGCAGGCTTGTGAAAATTTGATGCGGCCTGTTTCAGACGCCATTGCGAGCGGACTGTGCCCCTTTGGGTTGGTCGTGCAGCATCGTCAACCAACCGGTAGGCCCGATCGGTTGAAGATGATGCTGAGGCCCAGGGCACTCCCAGTTGAGCCCCAGGCACATTCGGGAAGGGGCCTGGGCACAGCTACTGGGACAGATGTCAAGCCTCCAGAGCCTGTCCTCGCCCAACCAGGCATAAGAAAAGAGTGTGAGGCTCACCCACACTCAGGCATTCTGCTTGCTAGAGGGCGGCAGTGCTGCTGGAGCACACACTGGCTGAGAGAAGATCGGGCACAGTGGGGAAGGCGCGGCCGGGGCGCTGGGTTGAAGCTGCATGAGAGCAGCTGGAGGGCGCTGCAACCATAGCCAAGCTGCGGGATCCCATAGCCGCAGGAGGTTTGGCGGAGGTCCTTGGGCGAGGGACACAACATGGGAGAGAAGGGTGGTGGGCGGTGTTCAAGAGAAGCTTACCTTGTGGTGATACGTGGGCTGCATCGGTCGGAGTCTTCATTCTTCATCGGGCAGGTGCACTTCATGAAGACCAGTTGTTGTCAGTAGAGAGTCTAGGTGTATAGGTGCTGTCTGATTGTAGGCCGGACGCCGAGCGCCGTATAGGAGAGCGACATCGTTGAGATTGATATTGGGGGCGGCGGGAAGGGGGCTTTCCTTGTCAAGTGGCTTCCCGTGCTTTGCTCTTATTTGGTGCATCTCGTCTTTTAATCTGCTTTCAGTTCGTTCGTGCACAAGTTAATATCCGGATTTCTATAGAATGATGCAATTTGGTTTCTGTCATTCGCACTGCTCATTTTCCTTGCACCGATCTTCCGCCCCTTTGTCTCCTTGGCTTGTCCCCTCCCTCCCCCTTTGTCCCCTTGGCTTGTCCCCTCTCTCCCAAGCGAACGATTAACAAATGGCCCCTGCCCAAGGATTGGTGATGATGATGATTATGATGACGTGCACCAATCGAGAAATGGAATGGTCCCAATTGAAAAACAAAATTCAAGCATCTGACCTCCTCCTCCTCCTCCTCCTCCTCCTCTTCCTCCTTTGTTACTCTTCTGCTCTTCTCCTCCTCATTTTGCACAGGCCTTCGTTGACGTCGAACGCGATTTGACCGAGAAGACGACTCCGATGGATAGACTTGTGTGTGGGGATGTCGGTTTCGGGAAGACAGAAGTCGCCTTGCGCGCAATTCTCCTTGTCATTTCAAATAAGAAGCAGGTCATGGTGTTAGCGCCGACGACTGTGCTTGTGAAGCAGCACTACACGGTGATAAAAAGGCGGTTCAGGAAATTTCCAAGTGTTTCTATTGCGATGCTCAGCAGATTGCAGGTTCGGGCTATGCACCAGAGGTGTCTCTTTATCCCTGTCTCTTCCTCCTCCTCCTCCTCCTCTCTTTTCTTTTTTTCTTTAATTTGATTTGTTCCTTTTTTCCTTTCTCAATATTTCCCCTTCCTTATTTTAATATTTTCCTTTCTTCTTCTTGCCTTATTTTTGTCCCCTTCCTCCTCCCCCTCTCTCCTTCCCCCTCCCCATCTTCTCCTCCTCCTCTTCCTCCTCCGTGCTGGTTGTCATCATTATGATGATGATGATGATGATGATGATGATGATGATCATCATCATCATCATCATTGTCATAGTTGTCATCGGTTTTTGTTTTTCGTATGTTTTTTTTTTTCAGCAATGACATTTGCTACCTTTAGTAATTGGCCATGTCAGTTTCACACCCGCTCTTGAATCGCCGGTGCGATTGATATCAGATTTGATTGACAATTGTAGTAATAATATTATAATAGGTAATTAATTTTTTTTTTTTTTGCCTGCCTTTTCTTTTTTTTTTTGGCTGGCTGGCTTTTTTTTTTTTTTTTGGTTACTTGAACCGACCTCGTTCTACTTCATCATTGTATTAATGCAGTGCCACTGGGAATTTGAACTCAGGTCGGTATTTCAACAGTTCATGGGTATACTCACTGAGCTAGGCCCGTCGGTACAACTGCAGTAATTAGTAATGACTAATTACCAACAGAAGAAGATCTGATGGACTGGTTTGGTTTGGAATTGGGTCATGTTCCGTAAACGGGATTTTTTTTTTTTTTTTTTTTTTTTTCCAAATGCGCTTTGTTACTTCTGGAGGGAGGATCAGGGTACGAACAAGCGAGGTTTTTTTTTTTTTTTTTTTGCGTTCGCTGTTTTTCTTTTTTTTTTTCTACAATCGGCCTGCAAATGGGATGGCTTGGCTGGTAGACCCCTAAACTGTTGAAATACGGGCCCGAGTTTGCAACTTCGAACTCCTCTGGGAGCAGATGAATACAAATCCTGTAATTCTGAATTACGTAGGGCCGATAAGTGCAAATGATGATATCTCAAAACCGTTAGCATTAAAAAAAAAAAAAAGAAGAAGAAGAAGAAGAAAAAAAGAAAGAGAGAAAAAAAAAGGAATTGGAGGAGAAAGAGGGATATCTTGGCTAGTTTATTTGCAATTTGACAGATGATAGAGGGGTGACGTTTGCAATTAGACAGATGATAGAGGATAGAGGGGTGGCATTTGCAATTTGACAGATGGTAGAGGGGTGATATTTGCAATTTGACAGATGGTAGAGGGGCGATATTTTATTATTTGCCATTCGACAGATGATAGAGGGGTGATATTTGCAATTTGACAGATGATAGAGGGGTGATACTGGCAATTTGACAGATGATAGATTGGTGATAACTATCTGACACATGAAAGGCCAGTTCACAAATTCTGACAAATGAGTGCAGTTTGGACTCTGGACTCTGGAGGGGATTAATAAACAACAGGTGGAAGTTTTCTTGTCTTCTTTTGGGGTCAGGCAGGGAAGGTGACAAACGGGTGCAGTCGGTTGACATAAGGAGTCTGTCGGTTTTCTGCAAACCTCCCTCCCTTTTGTTTCTTCTCTTCTCTCTCTTCTCTCTCTTCTATTGCTGCAGAAGGATAGAGAGAAGCGAGAGATCATTGGCAGAATCAAGGACGGTACTGTGGACATTGTCGTTGGAACACATGCACTCCTGGGAAATGCAGTGAACTACCGGAACGTTGGCTTGCTTGTCGTCGATGAAGAGCAGGTGAACGCATCTCTGTCACTGTTTTGTCTCTCTCTGTGTGTGTATTTGTGTGTGTGTGTGTGTGTGTGTGTGTGTGTGTGTGTGTGTGTGTGTGTGTGTGTGTGTGTGTGCTCATGTTCGCCATACACAACTCCGCAAAGAAAAGAACGACTCTGCCAGTATTTTTGTGTGTGTCTGTGCCAGTTTTTTTGTGTGTGTCTGTGTGTGTGGTCTTATTGGCCGTACACAACTCCACAAAGAAAAGAATGACTGTGCCAGACTGTTTCGTCCGACTTGCACCGGCTCGTGTGTGTGTGTGTGTGTGCTTTAGATTTTCACCAGAACAGCCCCTGTTCTACCCAGATGAGTAGATGCAAAATCAAAGCAGCTTTACCAATACTGCAGACAATGAAGCACACTTGAGATGAGCCAATCCAACCATGAAACAATCATACCTCTTTAGCACACAAGATGGAGCAGAACCGGTCCATCATATCCCTTTCCTGACTACGGTTACTTTGGCTCTGTGTGTGTGTGTGTGTGTGTGTGTGTGTGTGAGTACGTCGTACACAAAAAAATAGTTTTTTTTTTCGTTTTTCTTTTTCTTTCTTGAGACGATGCTCCAAATTTATATGTGGGGAGCAACACGGCTGGGAACCGGGCCCAGCGTCCCTCATGAAAGTACAGAATCATGAAATACCGGGGACATCACCTGGTTTCGACTAAGAACACTAGATGATGAAGAGTTTCTCAAAACAATTCAGATCCTGATGTACTGAAGGTCCTCCCGACCACGAAAAAAAATAGATGGAAACTCGTACAATCCCCTCTATGAACACGCCTGCACGGCCGTTTACAGCAAAAAGCCGGATCTCTACCAGGTCTCATGCCCCCATCAGGCTAGGTTACAGAGTTGCACCACCTTGCTCCAGCCTCCGGGCCGCATTGCGCCAGCTCCGACCCCGATGACCGCTGAGATTGCCCCCACAAGAAAATAGGTTTAATTTTGGTTGGGAAGAAAAAAATTCCGGAAGATTTTGAAAAAAAAACGCAAGATATATAAGAAAACTATGCAAACACTTAAACTTTTGAAAAGGTTGTGCAAGGGAAATGTGCAAGAGCGATATTCTGAAATCCAAATTGCAAAATCACGCTGTAGACCACATAGTCGAGGACCAAGCAGGAAGTACAATGCACTGAGATACAGGCCAAATAAGAGTGGTAGAATGAACTCAAATGTCAATGTCGACACTCTCTCGCCATACCAACATAGTATCCAATGTTGCTCTTCTTGATTGGCGCTCAGCGCCCAGCCTATCCTGCTCACCTACTATGCTAGCCTATACTACGTTCATGCAACAAGAGTCACTTCGATCTGAAGGCCAATGTACGTGACAATGTCGCTTATGCAGACTGCCAGCATACACCAGGTACGTGCCTCCCCTCCTCTCACATCACCCCGTGTCTCTCCGCAGTGTGCATCCCCGACACCCGAAGACCACCATTGCCCACCGGCCTCCGCACAAGCAGCCCGGCTATGGCCGCCGTACGCGCGCTGTCACCACAGCGCCCCTCTCACCTCCAGTGCCCGTGTGTGCCCTGGCCCGCTCGCACCCAGGCAACTTGCCAGCGCTACAAAGCAGCAGCGTGGCCGCCCAGACTTGCGAAGTCAGAATGTGCCCCTGCCAGGGCGCTCACTTTCCTTTACGGAAAGTGAGCCCAGGCTTTGGCTGGCCTGGGCCTGGCGTGGGTGTGCCGAGTAGCTTCACGTTGGGCCAAAGTATCTGCACCCTGGCCCATTTCAGACAGTTGGCAGGGCCCGCAGCGTAGAGGCAGCCCAACTGTACGACATGGCTGTTGTCACTTGCTGCGTTCTCATTGGCTGTCGGGCATCCAGCCACGTCACTGCCTGGTCTCCTATTGGCCGAGAGCCTCTGGCCACGTTGTCCCTGAAGTGAGCCCAGAGGCTCAGCTTGTTGTGCTCACACAACGCTGTTCTGTAACCAACTGGCGCGTAGTAAGCGCCCCTCAATGCAGAAATGGCAAATTTGGGGGCCCTTGTCGAGTTCTGGCCCGCCTTCACTTAGGGCAGGCACTGAGCTTGCTGGGTCCCCCTCGGCTAGTGGCAGGCCGCGACCGATCGGCCTTTGCGAGGGGCTGGCGACGGGGCGCTGGCGCTGGTTGCGAGGTTGCAGCACACGACGTCGATGTCCACATGCGAATGGCGAGACATCAACGTCACGTGCTCGTGCAGAAGTGTGGGTCAGGCGGGTCGGAGACAGTGCGAACGAGGTCGCAGACACATTTTAAAACATGGCCGATTTCAGCCGTAGATCCGCAGATCGGCGGTCGAAATCAACCCCCTTTTCAAATTTGAAATCGGGGGCCTATCGGACCCCGTTTGTCGCATACTGTGCAGCCACACGGGCCTGCAGGGCCCGACCAGTGTTCTCAGCCTAAGAGGCCCTGTGTCGTTTTCAGCCTGGAAGCCTGAAAACGAGGGCCTACAGGCCCTATGTCGTTTCAGCCTAAAACAGGGCCCTCCAGGCCCTGAGTCTTTTCAGCTTGAAACGGAGGGCCATTTTCAGGCCCTCATAAGATCGACCTGCCCTGAAACTTAGGCACCAGACCAGGGGTTTAGCACAGGCCATTTTGGGCCTGTTTTCAAGACAACCTTTGTTTGAACTTCAACGCCAGGGTCTGGCACGTTTTGGCATTGGCAAGAGCAGCCTCCTGGATGGGCCAGCACTATATAAGACTGGCCCGCCCTACAGCCTGCAGGTAGTCACGAGGCAGTTCATAGGAACTTCCCAGGCACTTCACGTGCAGGAGGCAGTCTTCAGGATTCGGCAGCAGCACTCTGGAGGAGCGCTGCAGTAGTAGTAGTAGCGTTAGCAGTAGTCTTCAGCGCTGGGCGCTATTAGGAGATAGAGTAGCGTTGGAGAGAGAGAGATGGTTGGCGGAGGCCAGGGAGACTTACCTGTGGCGCCATAGCTCCAGCTTCGTCTTCGATGTACCTGCAACAAGGCGCCACCTTCACAGGTTAGTACCGGACACAGAGAGAGAGAGAGAGAGAGAGAGAGAGAGAGAGAGAGAGAGAGAGAGAGAGAGAGAGAGAGAGAGAGAGAGAGAGAGCTTTGGGACTTGACGACATTTGGATCCAGACTCGACATTGGGATTCAGACATTTGACGAGGGATTATTTGGGACCTGTACCGAAGACTTGGTGTTGACGACATTCCCATCTTCCCCTCTTCTTCGTCTAACCCCCCTCTTCTTCGCCTGTGTATGGTTGGGGACTGGCGCATTCTTCCTGTGTGTCACACCATGGAATGATGATGATGTATGTTTGGTCTGCATTACAAGATTGATTGTTCAGATCATTGGTATTTAAGCCTTCCGCTGTGCTATCCTTTACTATGTGAGAGAGGTCGGTTCTTGTTCTGGTCTGCACCTTTACAGTATGCGACACCGTTCTTTTCAGAAAACGTGCGGCCAATCTCTACGCCGCCGGTGGCCGGTGGCGGAGGTCGACCGTGTGTTTCTTATAGAAAACGGGGTCTGTCAGGCCCCGGTTTTCTTGGGAAATTGTGGCGGCGGCCTTCCAGAGGCTGGCTGGGGACGGGGACGCCCGAAAATCCCTGGTAACCCCCCACACGCCGAGTGCACGAAATTGAACTGGGGGCCTGCCGGGCCGGTGAACCGCCCGGTCCGACCGTCAAGCTCCTGGTCGGTCGAGGGTCCCCCGGTCCATCCGGGGACCAGCACAGTTCAATTTTACTTAATGTTTAATGCTAGGCTATTTTTCCGGGCGCCCGGGCACCCAACTTATGCCCGGGTGCCCGGCTGGGCATGACCCCCAGGCGGGGTTCCGGGCAGCCCCAGCGCAAAAAATAAAATAAAAAAAATAAACCTGGAGAAAAACAATGTTCTGTAGAAGTGCAGTACAAACGACTTTCGGCTGAGGGTCACATCAGAATCCGCACAGAATCAGAGACAAAAAACAAAATAACAGAATCACACTAAGGCACCCCCCTTTAAAACCCCTTTAGCCCCTTCAAAACGAATTTATACCCCCCTTCTCCCCCCTTGACAGCCAACTCTCAAAAAAAGAAATGAGCCCGAATTTGGGGTCCTCTGGGAGAGTGCAGAAAACCGATTTAAAAAAAAAAAATATTATTATTACTATTATAGTATTATTATTATTGTTTTTTCGCACTCCCGGGTACCCCGAGCGTCACAACCGGGTGCCCAGCCGGGCAGGACGGCCGGGCGTGACAATTTCTTTCTTTCTGAAATTCTGATGCTGGCAAATTGGCCAGTTGGCTGGCTGTTGTCTGTTGCATTTTCTTCATTCGGAGCTCTGCAGAGATTCGGAGTCAAACAGAAGGAGAAGATCTCTGCGATGAAGACCAATGTGGACGTCCTTATGTTATCCGCAACTCCGATTCCGCGTACACTATACATGGCACTCAGTGGCTTCCGGGACACAAGGTCTGTCTTCTTGGGGCTTCGTAAGTTTTGTCGTCGTCCTCCTCCTCCTCTTCCGCCTCCTCCATCTCCTCCTCCTCCTCCTCCTTGTCGTTCTCCTTCTCCTTCCCCTCCTCCTCCTTCGTCTTCGTCTTCGTCTTCGTCTTCGTCTTCGTCTTCGTCTTCGTCTTCGTCTTCGTCTTCGTCTCTGCAGGTCTGCATCTGTGTCTGTGTCTGCGTCTGCGTCTGCGTCTGCATCTGCGTCTGCATCTGCGTCTACGTCTGCGTCTGCGTCTGCGTCTGCGTCTGCGTCTGCGTCTGCGTCTGCGTCTGCGTCTTAATTGTTAAACTGCCCAGCCCCAGATACTCCACAGTGATTGTATTCATCTCATTCCCATCAGTATTCGAACGTCGGTCTGTTTATGAACAGTTCATTCTTCAGATGTCATGATTTTGTCATCATCATTTTGGGACTTTTTTTTTTTTTTTTTTTTTTTTGCTCTTGGTTTCCTGCAACTAAAGAAGTGTGTGCTGTTTTCTCTTATCTTTTTCTTATGAAAAAAACAAAAGAACAGCCTGATCAATACACCACCGCCTGAGAGACGGCCGATCCAGACCCATCTTATGGTTTATCGGCAAGAGGACGCCCGCAAAGCGGTTCAGGCAGAGCTGGATAGAGGAGGGCAAATTTATTACGTCGTCCCTCGCATTGCAGGTGTGTAACTTTATTTTTTGAAAACTGCAATAGTATTTTTCACTTCTGCCCCTCTCCAAAGTTCATTGAGAATTTTGATCTGAAGCTGATGCGCATGTTGTTCAGTAGTTTATTTTTCTGCGGAACATTGTGTAATGAACCCAGATCGTGAAGACAGTTATTGACAATGCAAGTCCAGATGAATGTCACTCAGCTGATGATTACCAATAGTATCGTGTCCAGACAGAATGAGACGAGATAAACATGCACAGACGAAGGAGAGAGGAGGGAGATTAGACAAAGGAGAGGAAAATACAATGCCCACTCCTGCTTCGRGCTCCCTCCTCCAACACCACTTCAATAATCAATAGTCTGAACGAGTATCTGAAGTAACCTCAAGGTGCCACAGGGCACGTCTAATTAGTTCCTCATCAGCTCTGGAGCAATGTTGACATGAAGACAATCAGGTACGTATTCACGATCTCTCCACAGTCCTGATCTTCCTCTTCCTCGCAACCAGTCACCTCATGTAGATAGAGTGGACAATGCCACGTCAGCAACCAAGACAGGTGGCATATGCCACATCATCAATGAAGACCAATAGCAGCACCACGTAGACCAGAAACAGCGCCACGTCAGCATGCCACGTAGACCATAGGCAGCGCCACATATACGAGAGGCAGCGCCACGTCAGCATGCCACTTAGACCATAGGCAGCGCCACATATACCAGAGGCAGCGCCACGTCAGCATGCCATGTAGACCATAGGCAGCGCCACATATACCAGAGGCAGCACCACGTCAGCATGCCACGTAGACCATAGGCAGCGCCACATATCCAGAGGCAGCGCCACGTCAGCATGCCACGTAGACCATAGGCAGCGCCACATATACCAGAGGCAGCGCCATGTCAGCATGCCACGTAGACCATAG